CCAGCTGCCAGTCTAGTTAGCTTCTGTAAGTCATAGGATCGTAGAACTGTAGAGTTATCTAGCGCAGCCCCCTGCAGTGCAGGAATTGCTCAGCTAAAGCATCCATGAGAGATGGGAGTCCAACCTCTGCTTAAAAACCTCCATGAAAGGAGAGCCCACAACCTCCGAGGGAGACCGTTCCACTTTCGAACATCAGAAAGGTTTTCTGTATGTTTAGTTGGAATCTCCTTTCTTGTAACTGTGGGAGCAAGTTCCATTGTTTAACTATAAGCTGCATGAAGGAGCCCTTTCTCTTTCTCTTTCCTGAATCTTCCAACAGTCAGCTTCATTGTATGTCCACAAGTTCTAGCATTATGCATGAGAAAAGCTTTCCTTCATCCACTTCCTCAGAATCATGCATAATATTATGCACCCCTTCATGTACCCTCTTGCTTGCCTTTTCCCTGTTTCCCCTCAATTATTTCTCAGCCATTTCGAGCTCTGCAATATCCTTTTTAAGAGCGACTGTCCTGATTGGGCTGCATCAGTTGCAAGGACCCCCAATTTTCTATCCTCTGCCTCAAACACTGACATCTCATGATTTGGCACCACTGGTGGTTCCTGACACCCCTGAGGTTCGACTGACCTTTGTCAGGTTCTCCCTGTGGAACTCATTGCCAACAGGAGTCCAGCAAAAGTCAGACTGCTTTTTTTAAATAATAATATAATAAATTTTTATTTATACCCCACCCTTCCCGGTTCAGGAAACCGGGCTCAGGGTGGCTAACAACAAATTTAAAACACTTAACTGATGCTACAAAAAAAAGCATAAAATACGGTATAAAGTGTAAATAACAATAAAATCAAAAATAAATTTGATTTGAAGGGGGAAATCCATCCAATAAACATTAGATGATCACCAGGGCTGGCTGGCTAAATTAGTCCCACTTGGGCCAGTGAGGAGACCAGGGGAGAACCAGCTGTGGGATCCCAGAGCAGGCAATCTTCACAAAAAGGGGAGGGAGAGGGAAGGAAGGGGAACAAAAGATCAGGCCAGGTTCAAACTGAAAGCCAGGCGGAATAGTTCTGTCTTACAGCCCTGTGGAAAGAAGTCAGATCCCGCAGGGCCCTGGTCTCATGAGACAGAGCGTTCCACCTGGCCGGGGCCAGTGTTGAAAAGGCCCTGGCTCTGGTTGAGGCTAATCTGTTTTCCTTAGGGCCCGGGACCTCTAGGCTGTTGCTGTATATGGACATTAGGGTCCTCCATGGGGCATACCGGGAGAGGCGGTCCCGTAGGTACGAGGGTCCTAGGCCGTGAAGGGCTTTAAAGGTCAAAAGCAGCACCTTGAACCTGACCCTGTACTCCACCGGGAGCCAGTGCAGCTGGAAAAGCACTGGGTGAATATGCTCCCATGGCAGAGACCCCGTGAGCAGCCTCACTGCAACATTCTGCACCCGCTGGAGTTTCTGAGACAGCTTCAGGGGCAGCCCCGTGTAGAGCGAATTACAGTAGTCAAGCCTGGAGGTGACCATCGCATGGATCACTGTGGCCACGTCGGGGCGGGAAAGGTAAGGCATCTCTTGAAAAATGTTCTGTTCAGACAGGCCTTTTGAACATTGATGTTTTTAATCCAGCTATTTATTTATTTGTTTCATAAAATTTATATACCACTTGATTAGTAGAACCAAAGAAACCATAAAGCAGTTTACAAAAGAATGAACCAATGAATTATCAGTAAAAACACCTATTTAAAATATTCAAAGAATAATTAAAATCATCCGTAAGCTAGAAACCAGATTGAAACACACATAAACATTCTACACGTCTGAACAAGCTTGCCTAAACAAAAAAGTTTTAGCAGGTGCTGAAAAGCATACAGTGAAGGCACTAGTCTGATATCAATAGGCAGGGAGTTCCAAAGTGTAGGCTCTGCCACTGAAAACCAGATCGTTTGATTGACAAACTGTAGTGTTTCTTTCCCCCCAATGTTTTTGTTGCAGTATTGTATTTTCATGTTGCATATTGCCTTGTTACTTGTTGTCAAAGCTGCCTCAAGTCTCAGCTCACAAAAGACCAACGCCTATGTCTTCTTATATACAAAGGTGTTTATTGCAGTTCATGGTTTGCTTGACATCCTAGGCGCGCAGCCTTACGTCTCTTACGCTTAGACCGCTGAAGTCCCCTCTGAGTCAGTCCCTCCCCTGCACCAATTTAAGAGACTTGCGCTGCTCCACCTCTTTCTCTCCTTCCTTTTCCGCAGGGTCCTTCTGCCCGCTGGGGTTTCGCCCCTCCTGGATTCCTCTGACGCGGAATCAGACTGCTCTCCCCCCTCCTGCGGGCTTTGGGACCTGGCCCCTCCTCCGGGCTCCCTGTACTTCCGCGCGCCTCTACATTTGAACTAGGCGCGCGCGCCAAACCTCTAACTTTCCTTTTGACAGTTACACTACTCCCTTCACTGCTCCCTTCCCCTTCCGGGAGGGCGGCTTGCTCTGACCCCCTCCTTTCTCTGCTGCCGGAGCTGCTTCCTCTGACACACTGGAAACTCCACCCCTTCGCTGCACTCTGGTGAGGAGGCTGGTCCTGACGCCCAGCTGCCACTTTGGGATCCTCCGCTGGCACCCTGCTCCTGACACGTCCCCTGGGGCTCCCTGGCCTTGACCACCGGCGCCCCTTCTGGGAATCCTCTGATTCGCTGGAAAGACTCATGGAATCTCTTGAGTCATTGTCATCCTCTTCCTCGCTGGCTTGGAATTCCTCCCCATCGCTCTCCATCTCCTGCCTACCCTGTGCCTCTCTCCCTGAACCCCTGACACTTGTCTTTGGAAGAACAGTTTATACATATTAGAAATTAAACAAATAAAACAACCAAAAGATTCTGTAATAATTGGCTGCTACTTCAAAGGCAGTGAATCGGACAAAGTTATGTAAAAGCAACTTTTAAAATTTAAGTCCTTCTGACATGACCTCACCTGCCACAGGAGAAAGAAACACCCTCTGTGCCCAGCAGACGGTTCAATAATGCAAGAGCTTTCAATAATTCATTGTCAAAATGTGTAAAAGCATCAAAACATAAATGCTTAGAATAACACAGTCTTTGTCACACCAGTTAACACTCTCTCCTGAAAAACATGCTACTGACATATACATCATGGCCACAACCACGACAGATGTCAACGTCGGGTAAAGTGGGGTGGCAGTAATACAGAATGAGACACACAGAGCGGGCAGGGGGTGGCGGCAGAATATCTATTAAGTGGTTCAATGCCAGGACGGTGGTACCTCGGGTCACATACGCTTCAGGTTACAGATGCTTCAGGTTACAGACTCCAGTACCTCTGGTTAAGAACTTTGCTTCAGGATGAGAACAGAAATCGGGCTCTGGCGGCGCAGCGGCAGGAGGAGGCCCCATTAGCTAAAGTGGTGCTTCAGGTTAAGAACAGTTTCAGGTTAAGTACAGACCTCCAGAACGAATTACCGTATTTTTCGCTCTATAAGACACACCAGGCCATAAGATGCACCTAGTTTTTGGAGGAGGAAAACAAGAAAAAAAATATTCTGAATCTCAGAAGCCAGAACAGCAAGAGGGATCCCTCTTGCTGTTCTGGCTTCTGGCACAGCCTGCATTCGCTCCATAAGATGAACACACATTTCCCCTTACTTTTTAGGAGGGAAAAAGTGAGTCTTATAGAGCAAAAAATACGGTAAGTACTTAACCCGAGGTACCACTGTGCTTTAAAAAATAGGGTGGGGGAGCCACCTAGCCCAGGATCCTGCTCTCATTGTGGACAAGCCCGCAAGCAGGAACTGAAGGCAGCAGTGACACTCTTTCCCCTTTTGAATCCCAGCAACTGGCATTCAGAGGACTGCTGCTCCCTGCAAGCTGAGGGGCAATGGAACTGTCAGAGTTTGTAGCTACTGATCTTGATTAGCAAGTTGGACTTACCATAAAGTTCTTCTGGTCAGCAGAGAGTGTGCCAGCCAGGAAAGGGTTACCGTAACTCTTCCTAGAGGCAGAGTCAAATCACAGTTGAAGAGTGTGATGGCAGCAGGGGGAGGTACCCCGGACTCTGCCTCCAGAGAGACCACAGTCAAAACTGGCTGAAGGACAGGAGCCAGCCTGGCTTCTCCAGGAAGGCAGTTCCAAAGTCTGGGAGCAGCCCTCTCCTGCGCCCCCACCAAGCATGCTCAAATCAGTATGGTACTTGGGGAATCCATGAGTCAAAGGCGCAGCAGGTATAATACATAGCTAAGCAAGCAAAGACATTGTACTCAAGGTGCCTCTTTGGGCTGGGCAAGCAAAATGGATCTCCTTCTGGTGGGCTGGGGCTGCACCACTGTTTGCACCAGACTGTCCGTGCCCCAGGTGATGGGAGGAAAGCCAGCACTTCCTTCCAGGGAGCCAGACTTTACTCCTGACACCTCCTCTTTAGGCAGAGGTGTCTCAGCTGAAGTGGGCAGGGAGGAAGGATCTAATGGCACAGGCAGCAGAACGGGGTCTTCTGGAGAGGCTTGCATGGGCTGGCTCAGTGACCACCCACTAGGTCCCTCCCTGGGATCTGACTCGCCACCCATCATGTCCTCCCCAGCAGTGGCGTAGCGTGGGTTGTCAGCACCCGGGGCAAGGCAAGTAATTTGCGCCCCCTAACCCGTAAGCCAGGTAGGGGCAGAGAGCTGCGAGTGCGAGCGCGCGCCCCCCAGATGTTGCACCCGGTGCGGCCGGCCACCCCTGCACCCCCCATGCTACGCCACTGCTCCCCAGCCAACTTGGATCCCTGGGCTGCCAGCCTCCATCTCTTTGGGCTCCTCTCACCCCTTGTCCTGATCTGACCCTCCCCTCCAAGTCAGTTCCATAGGAATCGTGGCACCTGGGACCTTTCACTTAAAAAGGAGCTGCTCTTCCACTGAGCTACAGCCTACATTTTTTCCCTGGCTCAGATTCTGTAATGTTTCTGCCCAGCCAGACCTCTGTAACATTGGACCCTACTGGACCCTTCCTCAAACCAATGGTGCATGCAGACACGTGTGTGTGTGTGTGTGTGTGTGTGTGTGTGTTCGTGCGCGCGCACACACACACACACACACACACACAGGCAGTCTCAGGTATGAGCTGCTTGCGGAGACAGGAGTCCATTCATTCTTCAGGCCTTGCAAATCTGCCTGTATAAAGGCAACAGGATTCTCTTTGCTTTCCCTGTGAGCAATTTACATTCTAGCAAGTAATTAGCAACGCTTGAAGAGGGGTGGGGGTGGCTGAGGTTCAGCAGACCTGCTGTGCTGTTCCCACCCTCCTAATGCAAATCATATTCAATTGCTTATTAGCAGACTCTAAGCATTTGCATACCAGCAGACATGACATGAGGCTGCAGCAAGAGAATTAGAAAGGTTAAGTGCAGAACAGAAACAACAAATTAGGAAGCTGTCTTCAGCAGCAAGTAAAAATCACAGAAAGGTGTCAGCATTGAGGTGGGGGGAGAAGAAGGCTGGGGTGGGTGGGTGTCTGTGCACAAGCGGCAGGATTACGGACACTCAAGTCAGCCAGTGATGTCAAATGTGCCAACAACTATACATAGCAGAAATGGAGCCAGATGCAATTCTGACGCACATCAAAGAGAGCTGTGACTTTTACTGGATTACAACTATGGAAAGGGGATGTAGCTCCAAGACAGATCATCTGCTTTGCATGCAGAAGGTCCCAGGATCAATCTCCAGGAATGCGTGAGAAAAAGTCACACCTGAAACTCCGAAGAATCATGGTCAGTCAGTCTAGATGGAAAAGGAGTTTGGGTTCTACTATGAGGCAGCTTCTGATATTCCTCAATGAAAAAACTGATTTAGCAAAAGGAGCTGTTAACTGTGCAAGGGATGTCTTCAGCTAATAAATATCATTTTGTTTCCTGTCTGAAATTGGTGAGAGCAAATGGCAAGAGCCTAATTTTTAAGAACTTGTATTTTATATTTTGTACCACTTTGTATTTATTTATTTATTGACTGCATCGTACATTTGGAAAAGCAACGCATACAGCTGTTCCTAAACCAGACATGAGCAGATTTCCAGCATGCAGAGTCTACCTTTTGTGCAAGGACCTCGCTCACCAGTCACAAAATGGGGGCTTACAGGGTAGGAAGAGGCAGCCTCCTCCACCCCCATGCCCCCAGCACACTCAATATGCTTTGGACAATAACTCACATCATGTCTGACCATTGGCCATGCTGCCTGGGGCTGGTGTGCATTGTTCTTCAAAAGACCTAGAGGACACCAGGTGGAGGAAGGCTGATTGCATCCCATGAGTCACACTTGGGATGCCTGGGTCTGCAATTTAACTTGGCATTGCCCCTTACATCTTAGGCTGTATTAACAGAAGCACAGTGTCAAGATTGCAAGGAGCTGTGCTTCTACTCTATGCTGTGCTGGTCAGACCACATCTGGAACACATCTGGAGCACTGAATTCTGGGTGTCACATTTTAAGAAGGACACTGACAAACCAGAGTGCATCCAGAGGAGTGTAACTCCAGCTGAACTATTCTAAATTGCACAGAGAGCTAGAAATAAATCTCCATCTGCCTTCTGCTCATTGCTAAATTAAGCTACCCTTGATTTACCTGAATGCATCCAGTGTTTACGGCTTGTGTTGTCCAGTTGTTGGACTACAGTGCAATGTAGTAATCAGAGCACTGGCCTGGTAGACTAGGGTTCGAATATATGCTCAGCCATCAAGCTCCTTGGTCCACTCAGTGTCTCTCAGCCTAACAGGGATGTTGTGAAGAATGAAATGAGGAGGAAGAGAACAACACATGCCACCTTGAGCTCCCTGGAGGAAATGCAAGATATAAATGTGGCAAGTAAAATCAACAACGAATCATCCCTAACCATTTTCCATGCCTGCGGGAGTTCAACAAAACCAGGAGGGTGAGAGAGCCACCACTCTTTGTCTTTGTCTGAGTTACAAAGATCACAGCACACGTCACATCTCAAAAGCAAAGAATGGCTATTGTAGAATTCACGGAAAGTTCAGAAAAGGCCACCCAAAGTGATGACAATGCTGGTACACCGTCTGAAAGGCACAACATTGCCTGCACTGGAAATAAATAAATTAAAACAGACTACGGGGGGATATCATTTAAGCACCAGCAGTGACAAACCACAGACATCTTCTTCCAAACTTGGGGACAGGGAGGAACTGTTGTGAATCACTACAATGCACAAAAGAAGCACAAGAAGTTTAACAGCTTCCCTCTGAGAAAGCAAAAGATTTACAAAAGGGCGGGGGGGGGGGGAGTCCAGAGCTATCAAACTCTGGAAAGCAGAGGCGTTTTTGACTGTGGGTTTTCTGCAATTAGTGCCTGTGCGCCCCCCTTTTGATGGACTATCATCCTCAGAGTGAAGAGCAATATTCTAGGAAACGGAGCATTAACTTGTCCACCAATGACTTTAATAGGGCCCTTTTCAAATTACTGCTTGTGAAAAGCAGAGCGGAGAGGAGAGGGAGGAAACTGATGATGATATCCTATCTCCTTAATTAGACCTCTCTCCTTCCTTTCCTCCCTATTAGCAACTTAGTAGCAATTGTACATATTTATATAACAGTGTTCCAGCATGGCATACCAACGAAAACTGGCCGTTTACCGGTAATTATCAGCTGGTAGAAGGCAATCACAATTTGGGAACACGTGAAGCAGCCTTGTAAGACACGCAACTAGTTTAGATTTACAATCCAATAAAAATCCCTTTCTGGAAGCATTCCAGGAACTCTTTTGCTACCCACACCTATCTATGAACAAGTAAGTACATTAGACAAGACAAACAGTCAGAAGATCAGGACAAACATTGACCTCCAGTCTTGGCTGCATTTAAAATGTACTGCAGGAGCCAACTTCAGGTGCTCAGGACATCAAGTAGGTGCCTGCATGGTTTTTAAACTTACTGGTAAGAAGAACCTCCCGTTTCTTGGGAGTGGGGAAGGAAACAGTCAGGATGGATGCATTATTTCAGGGGATCTTTGGGAAGCAACAGCCATAGCCCGATACCCAAGAAAAACTGTTCTGGGAGCCACAAAATACCCATTTCACAGAAGAACTGGCAATGCTCAGAACTAAAGAGGTAAAGAGATGAATCTTCTGCATACAGAAAAACCTAAATGCACCTATGAAAACCCCAATAATTATTGTTCTTTCTCTCTCTGTGGTCCTTGGGTCCCATATATGTTGTTATCCAAAGGTCCCTGCCCCTCCTGATTTTTCTTTAAAATAAAAAATGCCAGTCTTTTGAATTCTTTCCCATGAGGCTGAGACTATCTTCACAGGAAAGGAAAAGTAGAGTGAGTGGTTGGGGTTGAATATGCATTTTGCTTAATCTTTGGTGGTTTGTTACTGTGGACTGGAGGAGTGTTTTGCCTGTTTTGGAGGGAGGTGTTGCCTGAATTGGGGCAGCAGTGGTTTTTTTTGGGGGGGGGTATTTTGGCTGGGCAAGGTGGTTCTAATCACCCCATTTTTCCTTATGTGAAATGAGTATTCTGTGGGGTCCGCAGCAATTTCTTACATTTCCAAGAAGCTGGGGCTGCTGGGAGGTGTGGCGCAAAGCATCTGGTGAAGCTTGAGCCAAGACATCCACTGATCCAGAACTCTGCCAGTTCTGACAAAGTACGATAATTCGGAGAGGAGAACTAGCTGGAATGTTCAGGAGAAAATGGCAGCTGGGTCGATGTCATGCATATTTACAAAGGATATTCTCCAGCAAAGGGCGCCTGATCTAATTATCCATTCAGAAGCTGAAATGCACTCGCTGCCACGTTCAGAAAGAACAAGATATACAGCAAGCGAAGAATCTTTTGTTTAGCAACATAACAAAACAAAAATCTGGTCCACATCTTTATAAAAAGAACAATTCAATGATGCAGGATTTGAATTTGAAAATAACTTAATTCCTCCATGAAGAAAGAAAATCTGATGAGCATCCTTTGTACTTCCTAATCCACATTTCAGGTTAAATTATCTCTGTAATAATATTTAATTGGATTAGATTAGACATGGTTGAAAATAAAATAAAAAAACTTTGTCTATCAAAAACCTTCTTACCATTGCTCCCCTGGGGGACAAGCAGCCAGAGGTTGGGAAAGAACATAGGAAGAGGCAGAATCAGGCCAATGTCCCACTGAGTCCAGCATCCTCTTCTCATAATACAGTGCTACCTTGGGTTCCGAACTTAATTCGTTCTGGAGGTCCGTTCTTAACCTGAAACTGTTCTTAACCTGAGGTACCACTTTAGCTAATGGGGCCTCCCGCTGCCACTGCACGGTTTCTGTTCTCATCCTGAAGCAAAGTTCTTAACCCGAGGTACTACTTCCAGGTTAGCAGAGTCTGTAACCTGAAGCATCTGTAACCCGAGGTACCACAGTAGCCAAGCAGGTACCCATGGGAAACCTGCAAGCAAGACCTGAGCTCAACTGCAGCACTCTTTGCACATGTGATTCCCAGCCTCCGGCACCCAGAGGTACCCTGCTCTGAAAGTGCTACCATGCAGGGATGTGCAAGATCCACACAGCCACAACCTAAGTGGATTTGGGAGGGCGCCACACCACAAAACTTTCAAAAGAGCGAAGAGCAAAGCTGCTGAATTAGGCCAAAGGGGGCCCATCCAGTCCAGCATGCTGTGCTCAGTGACCAACCAGATGCCTGGGGAAAACTGTCAAGAAGGACTGCAGCAGCACTCTCTCTGTTAGCACCTGGAGTAAAAATGTTCAGGAGATGTTGAACTTAATACTCAATCTTTGTTGGAGGAGCTACCCTGGATATAATCACACTGAAACTCTGACTTCAGGAAAATAAAATAAAAAAGCTATGTTTATTGCAGGAAGTACATACGGTACTTAATAGGAAAGATCACTAGCTCTACTTAACTAAGGTGGAGGTGCCTTGAGCCATGATTGCTCTTGCAACCTTTTTCAGCCATGGGCTGGTCCACCATCCCTCAGACCATGTGGTGGGCCAGACTATTTTTTTTGGGGGGGGGGGGAATGAACGAATTCCTATGCCCCACAAATGACCCAGAGATGCATTTTAAATAAAAGGTCACATTCTACTCATGTCAAAACACTCT